CGGCCACCGCCGCCGCCGCCACTGCCACCGTCTCCCAGTAACGAAAACGCCACTTAGTGCGTTAGTGTGTATATATGAATGTGYGTGTGTGTGTGAGTGTGTTTATATGGCTTTAGATTTACGTTTGAGTGCAGTGTTTTATTTTTTTTCCAACATCACAGAGGACCTGAGTAAATTACGATTGTTTTCTTACGATTTTTTCGGAGCGATAAACGTTACTTGAAGTGGCACGATATTATGAATAGATCGCTCCACCGARATCAAACGAAAAAATCGACTGAAATTGCCAGCCTCTAAAAATTTGAACGATCTCAATGACGTATTTGTTATTTTTTTGTTTCTCATTCGAATCAACCGATTATATCAATATGTTCARTTGTAAGTCTTTAAACGATCAACAAAAGTATTCTGCCAATGTTATTTTTGATTGGCCTACATCTCGTATGGATGGCATTTTTTTATAAACCTTTTACTAGAGACTATTGGGAATCTGACGTTAAAACAATAGACATTTGCCGAAACYTTCAGTGGTCAATTTCAACACAGCGGGTCAGACTTTTACACGTAATGGACCATAATATTTATTTTTCGACATTTTACGCATCGGCCGGGTTAACACGTTAGCGGTCCGACCTCAGGGTATAATAGTTTTTGACGAGCATTACCGTTAATATTTGCATTGAAAACGGCATCCRAAAAATTATGAAATGTTGAGTATTAACCGTTATCTGGGTGCTGTCATTCCGCTGGAAGTGRCGTGCARAACTAGAGAGATAATATTATGGAGGTGCAATACGTATTATATGTACGTTAGCCATGTTGACATGATATGAGATCCTATATTATTATTTTTTYTCCCTAAGTGATTTGTAGTAAAAACATAACTGACATGKTAAAATAATAAAAATAAACAACCGGAAAATTGCTCTTTTCCGCGATGTGAAGGGCTGACGTTATGGCATGTGTTTCGGTCACCACCATTCCAATCAATAATTATAATATCATAAATATCCGTTGATATAAAATTTTATACAATAATGTTATCAATGTATATACCATGCAGTGTTCACCAATTGAATATTGAATTTCTCGGCCGGATTATATTGGAATAAATCGAATTTTTTTTTACAACCTAATGATATATAAATACACATTTTCAGATAAATTTCAAATTTTTGACCCTCTCGGTACACGCATGCGCAATGCAACTTAAATTTTTTTTAATAGCAACCGCGGTATTTTTGATACCAAATTCGGATAGACTGAATTTCTTAAGTCATTTTGACCAATGGTTTAACCATGGCTCTAAAACTAAAATTGACTGAATGAGAGCCATTCAAATTTTAATAAATAATACATTTTTTAATTTTTACAATTCATTATTAAATGCATAAAACCATTTATAATTATTTAGGTACTATTGTTATTTTTTGAATATTTTTACGTATACAGTTGTAATCAATTTTAATTGAATAATTTTCTATCCATATTATGTCAATCTTATTTATAAGATATATAAAAAAAAAAAAAATTACGTAAAAATATTCAAAAAAGTAACTAATGACAAATAATTATAAATGGTTTTGTGCATTTTATAATGAATTGTAAAAATGTATTATTTATTAAAATTTGAATGGCTCTCATTCAGTCAATTTTAGTTTTAGAGCCATGGTTAATCGGTCAAAATGACTTTAAAAAATTCGTTCTATCCGAATTTGGTATCAAAAATACCGGGATTGCTATTAAAAAAAAAAGTCGCGTTGCGCATGCGTGTACCGAGAGGGTCAAAAATTTAAAATTTATCTGAAAATGTGTATTTATATACCACTAGCTTGTAAAAAAAATTCGATTAATTCCAACATAATCCAGCCGAGAAATTCARTGTTCCCTAAATTGGTGAACACACGGTATTTATTAAACACCTATGGTTACCCTATATACTCGTGTGCCAGATGATTCGCAAAAAAGTTGTTTGCGTGGTTCATTGCTCAACAACATAATGATAATCGGACCTTTATAATGAATTGCATTCGCTATGCGACGATATTAACGACTGATCTAAATAATCTGCAAGTGTATATTACATAGGGTATTATGTGTGTATTGTTATGTCAACATGTTTCGCCAAAGTGTAGGTGYCTAACATGTGCAAATCGATTATGATATATAATATAAATATATATATATATGTATGTGTGTGTACCACGAACATTAATTACAAGTGGCATTTGAAGTAAGCGCATTTCACGAATAGGTAAAAATTATTACCACGATTTCCCGAAGGTTAGTTATTGCCGAAATTAGAATACTAATATGTACCAGTATTTCAAAAGTTCTGAAGTTTATCAGTCGATTGTTAAGGTAACAGAAAATACACTATAAAATCAATAGAAATTCGATGCATATTCAATTCAACGATATAATATCTTCACTACATTACAGGGGTCGAAACCGTTTCAAATGTTAACGGTTTTCTACATTTTCTGGTTTTATTTTAGGTTTTAAAATCGGGTTTTCAAATTGTTTGGTTTTTGTTTGGGCTTCAAAAAAGGTTTTTAAAATTTGTCGGTTTCGAGAACGGTTATTGAAAAATGTGGGTGACGGTTCCGGTCACGGTATACTTACTCAAATAACAATGAAAAAACCGCGGTTCTAACCGCTTGTAACCGGTTTCGAACCCTAAGTTCATTATACATAATACATAATGCGACGTAATTCGAAAATCGAGAACTGGGAAAGTCGTGGGTTAAACTTAGCATTATGCCATTAAAACGACATCGGGTTATTATAATACCTACTGACTATTGTTTGATAAAAATTGGTCAAACGCACAAATCGTAACACACCACCCGGTGCCATTATGAAGCGAAGCGTTTTGAGAAAAATATTAACGAGAAACTCTTTTATCGAAATAAAAACTTTGTTTCTTAAAGACGATTTGTGGTGCTTATTTTAAATTTAGCACAAACCGTATCAACGAAAAGTGTGGGTACACTTATTTCCTTTTGATCATTTGTTTCCGACCCGTCTTTCATAATGATCATTATTATTAATTTATAGTTACCGTCGTTTTAAATTTATGACGTGCCTGCGATTCGTAAAAGCTATTTAAGTCAGAATTATATGAATGCATAATAATATGTTGATCGTGAAATTCGTCGAGAGTCGTTCTTGGCGGATATTACAAATATCTCCGAGTACATGTACAAAACGTGTGTAAATAGATCTAAATACGTCCAAATACTCAACCGTATATAGTATAATATTTTGCTATTTACCTCGAAATTTAATTTACTTAGTTGTATTGTATGACATAAAATAATTATATACCAACATAATATTATATAAATGTATATGTCAAGCGTTCTAGTTCCTATGTAACATTATAAAACTAATAGGTAATAAGATGATTTTAAACTAAATTTGTTTGTACACCTTAGTAGTCTGGTGGCTGTTTATTTATTAATAATTCTATATAAAATTTTATATCTATAATAAAATACACATAATATGTATTAGCGATCAGCCAAAAATACGCGTATCGAGCTTGTGCGTATTGCGATTGAAGTCTCGTTTTGATCGAAAAACAGTTATATTTAAACAACAGCGACCTAATGAATTGTTAAAACTGACTCCAATCAAGTTACCTATATATCTATATATTATACGAAATCATAGCAAATAATATACGAACAGCGCCGCAATCAGTTACGGACAAAATATGAAATCGTACGTAGTACACAGTGAACAAGTTGGAGTTAGGACCCAATAGTAATTGCAATAGTAGGAAAATATATACTTTGTCGAGATATTGAGCACGACAGGAATGGTCATTGTATGTCATATTGTCATCATTGAGTCCAATAGTTAGTATAAAAGTTATTATCGTTTTAGATGAATGCTTAACTGCATAAAGAACAGCTACCGAAAAAAAAAAAAACTAAAATAATAAAATCACGATTTCCTCCAATTCGAGTTTAGTCATACCCTTATAATTCTAAAATGAACGATTATAATTTATCTTTTAATGTGTACAGAATACGATATTTACCTAAACCTTGTATTTTAAGATTTGAACTTATTAAATATCATGTAAAAATTGCGTTGTCACGATTTTCAAATAATACCAATGTATATTGTATAAGCTCAATAGTCCAAATGTATAATTTATACTTTGTCCAAAATTTATATTTATTTTCATCACCTATTGAAATGTTATGTTTAAATCTAATAAAAAAATGATTTTGTCTACCAAATTTTCTAGATAGAAATTAGATACGTTTTTTATAATTCGAYATACCTTTATCTGAAGGTGTCTAGATAAATATATAACGAACTGTAATTATTATCTGTATGTCAGCTAGATTCTATTTTTGTAATCTATTCTCAACGCTGTAATACTCATTCTATAGATAAAATAATAGAGCGGTAAAGTTGATCGTATTTGGTACCTATAATTCACATCATCGATCACCGGGTTTTCGGGCAAAGCACAATATTATGTTGGCATATCATTATATTCCACGACATAATTATTGATGTTGAGAAACAACGACATATTAGAAATATTGCAATTCACGTTGGTAAGAACATTTAGGTATTTTCGTAGTTTGTCCGTAACAGGGTGCGCCTACTCCTCTCAAACTACTTTGAAATGAAACTATGTGTGTGTATTTTAATACCATCCTTGGCATATGTGTCCCTTATTTCACACCCCTCACCAGACCCATAACCAATAACTGTTGACCAAACCCTTCTCGATCACTCTATCCGTTTTTTTACGCGTTTTTTAGGACATTGACATCATTCTCGTTTAGTCGTCAACTGCACGACCAAGGAACCGATGAATAGAACAAACTGTTTTTTCTCATGACCTGGCGTTTGTCATTTTAATATACGCTTTTTAGGAATTCGTCGACTGGCCGAAAATCGACGAATAAAACAGATTCTTCGCGGGTTTTCGTTAATGGCACAGGTGTATATCATAAAGTTTACAGAGTTTGGCGAATCGCGCAACTCTGTCAGCTACGTATAACCACGCGATCTTAAACCAAATAAATGAGCCCGGTCGTCGCTCATCCGATTAATAAGCGTTTTCCATCGATCGGATTTCTTGCGAAATCGTAAAATTTTTAATGCGGATTTCATTCTTTTTTTTTGCGCAACACAAGTAATCTAGTTTCGAAAATAGTAGCAGTAAGCGTGTATGTTCGTGTGGCCCGATCGTATCCATATGTTACGTAAATACATGATATTGAATAGTATATAATATATTATTTTTCTTTAAAAAAAAAAAAAATAAAAATATTATCATACAAAATAAACTAGCATATCACAACTTATCCTTTTTCCAGAGACCTCTCCGCCCACTCACCAGATATTAAACAATTATTACGAATTCCATCATCGTTTGATAGAATTTATATTTATAAATTTATAATAATAGCAACTGCTTAAACTTGATTTACTAAAAAAACTACTTTAAAATTAGAGTACATGACATTTTTACGAATGAAATATAATTACTTTTATATAAATGTGTAGCATAAATTAGTATTGTATATTATTATAAGTGGCGTATTATATTTTAATAAACATAATATAATGAAATGTGAATATAAAAGTACCTAATTCGTCGAGTAGCCAAAATTAATTTTGTTCATACAATTCGTGAACTTTTTACATGATATTTTTTATGTACATTATTTTTTTTTTAGAATTTTAAGAATATTAATTAAATACATTTTTACTGTATATTATATTATTATAACAGATACCTATACTTGAATCATGAATATTTGACATAACAAAGTGTATGTAGATGTGTCCTATATTTACCGTTCCAAAATCCTGCATAAGCATGCGTGTAATTTATGATAAATACAATTTGTATGGTTTTTGTAAAAAAATTTTTGTAAGTACTTAAAATTCTTCCGAAAATTTAAATCTGGATTTTTCTTAATTTATGTAAAACCCTAAAGCCAATTAAGAATAATGTTATAATACTATTGACTATTTCTACGAATGTTTTAAATTCAATTTTCGTAATTGATATTAATTTTGTAATTAATGACCGTTCGGTGATATCCCGGTTTTGAGTTTATATATTTTTTACCGTCCAATATTAGTTAAGTTTGTTATATACCAATGTATCAATGAAATGTATCGTTGTGAACTAATCGAATCTCACCTTTCAAAATGGTGTAGGTAATTTGTAAAAGTCGCATGAAAATTTTAATTTATTGTTATTTTTTTTTTTTTTTTTTTCCTGTAATTAATTAACACAAAGAGACATTTTATGATAAATAACGCCCATTTTTTACCCAATTTTTTCCCAATTTTTTTTTTTTTTTTTTGCTGAACTGTACTCTAGATTATATGAAATTTAATTTCAGTCACGTTGTTGTCATCCGTCTAAGTGTATCCGTCCAGTTGTTTATGGTACTGAAGCTTGACTGTTTAATAACATATTTTCGCCGATATTTATATTAGATACGCTGAAAATATATTACAGAATACTCTTATTGGCATTCACGTGGCCCTTGCTTTGTATTAAAATAATTATACATAGGTTGTTGGTTTATTTTTCTTTAGATCTATGTATTTCAATAAACGAAAAACTTGTGTAAAACCGTTTACGTGAAATATTTATTATAATATAATTTATCTGATTATGAATTATGTACATCTATTGTGCAGTAGCGAACATAGGATTGACGGCTTTAATTGGTTGTTAATTATTTTACACATCAAATTGTATAATATATATAGTATGATAAGTAGTATATATTTATATGTCCTGAGCACCTTTTTTACAGGGAGATTTATTTAGTTCAAGCGGACATTTCTACATGCGTCTACCGTGTAACACAAATTCTCAAAAAGTGTAAAGTATGTTCTAAGTACCTTTTTTACAAAGAGATTTCTACACACGTTTACTGTGTAACACAACATCTCAACAAGTATAACACATTATAAAACTGTATACCTATATCGTCTGTTACCAAACACCTAGTTCAGATTTATAATTATAATTTTTTAATAAATTACTGTCACTTAGAATTTTCCTGAACCAAGATTGGCCTAAATGAAATTTGCAGGCCATAATTTTGTAGTTCAGGAAAACATGTCTAACAGCGTTATGAGCACTTCTTACGATATGAAAATGAAAATTTGAATGCTTTAATGTATTTTTTTATATCTATGTAAATACATTTTAAACATAACTTAATAATTGTGTGCCACATTTGTATATAAGTTTCAGTTGATTTTGAAATTAAAAAACAGTAAATTACAGGAACATAAAACCCATTTTGTAATATATGCAGTGCCGGCCTGGCCAGGGCAGCGAGGTAGCGAACGCTGCCGAGGCCCTCACCTTTTTTTTATTTTTATTCTACCAAAGGCACCTAAAAATGATAAAATAGTGATGGACGGAGACATAATAGCCCAGGGTGCTAACGCTAAGTATTGTTAAAGGCTCTTTAGGTCATTACATACATGTGCGATTGAATTTTGGTAATTGTGTCTCGCACAAAAATATACAATTAATAAGCAAAAAGAGTTTGAAGGATAAAAAAATATTAACATTGAATACTTTCAGTTTATTGAGATAATATTGTATTATTGTTGCAAGTATTCCCTGGGTGTTTTGTTGTCGTGTAACGATAAATTCTATTATCGCATCATAATGGTCATAAATACGAGTATTAATTATTTTTCGTAAATTATTTTAGTTTTATTTTTGGATACTACATGTTTATCATAATGTTATCGCTCGTACAGTATAACGATAGCCATAGGATATGGTATATACATATACAAAAGTATCCATGTATAACGTATATATTTTATATGTATTAAGATATCACAATACACGACTTTCACAATTTAAACTCAATCTTAGGTAAATTGTAATGCTATATTTATACTCATAAATAGGACCTGGAAATGTATGCATTTGCATATTTTTATTTATTAAATTAAAAATATCTAGATAAGACACGAATTTGGAATCTTAACCTAATGGGATGGTATGTAAAATTAAATGTTGCATATTTGGAAAATTTTTATTTTTTATGCATATTTTACCATTTCTCCAAAATATAATTCATATTTATGAAAAAATAGTATTAAGTTATTAATACTAGTAATGTCCTATGTAAGACCTGCGAATGTGAAAATAAAAAACATTGCTAAAAATCGACAKGCATTTTAATTTGAAAATGTATCCAAGCCTTTAGTATTTGAAAGTTAATTGTAACTCTCCATGTGCTGTCCGTCTTAAAAGTGCATTATATAGTAAATTGTACGTTCGTGTAATTCCGTTTGCTTAAAAATTAGAGTGAATTTACCTCTTGTAAAATTTGAAGGTATGATTGTTATCTAGACAACCTCATATGCTTTTTATTATATTTAAATTTTAAAGCAAGTTATGAGTATTTTAAGATGCACAAAAAAATTTACAATTTTAAAATACTCATAACTCACTTTAAATTTAATATATAATAAAAAGCWWATGAGGTTGTCTAGATSATAATCTTACCTTTAAATTTTATAAGACGTCAGTTCACTCTAATGTTTAAGCTAACGGAGCTACAMGTGTTCTGCTGAACGTAAAATTTAGTATATAATGCACTTGTAAGATGGAGTAAACACTTGCGGGTATCACGTCCTCTTAATTATACATATTTTTATATACATTTACATGAGATACATATATACATATTGTACAATTTTTACATAGTTATTTTGACATAATATACATTAATTTTTATTTAAATTATGAACAATATTTTATACATCATATTATTTTATACAATCGTCATTTCCTCTTGCAAGGCTAACAAACCGTACCTATTTGATAATTCTAGTGGCTAAGAACATATTAGATGGTCTATGGTATAAGACATGCGGCCACGRCTTCAGTCAATCAACATCTCCACGAATGGAGGTGGAGGCAAATAAAACATTGGTGACCAAGGCACTAAATTTTCAATGAGGGGTGGTGGATAGCAAAATCTTGACGCTGCCACACAGCATGGCAGCGGCGGTGGCTGCGAAGTGTGAAATAGTGCTGGTCCCACATAATACTCCGGCAGCGGTGGTGGAGGGRATGAAAAACCAGAGGCAATCACATAGTCAGCAGATGGAGGTAAAGGTTGAGAACAAAACATTGCCGGGCCCACATAATATTGGTGTGGTACTGACAAAACCGGCGTCTCCAGTGACGTTTCCGTCGGACATTCTGACGGCGTYTCAAACTGCCTTTCWGATKGCCTTTCATGCGGTCTTTCCACCTGCGTGCCAATGTCTTTCGTTTCGACCACGGGTTTTTCAACACACTACAAGGATAATCACACATTATTTTTTTTTTCACAATAAAAATTTATTATACCATATTATATTTAGTCCTGTAAAAAGTACTTTTTCAAAGTTTATAAATAATCAAATAGCTAGAACATATTTGTCCACTGTGGGCCAACGTATTTCATTAAATTTATTTTTTTACATTTAGTAATATAAATATACCGATTGAAAATGTGGTTTAATAAATGAGGTTTAGTAGTAAGCCATTACCCTCCTCCATCGAGGACTGCAGTATCATATTGTAAATATAATAATTTAATATATTATATTGTAATTTTTAGTACCAGTTTGTCGAGTGTCTCGTCCATTTGTGATTTATTTTCTATATCAACACTGGTTTCTCCGCAGCTCGTTACCGGAGTAAATATGCTGATAAGTTCTTTAATATTGAATAACGCATATAGAAGAACGATCATTTTTTGAAGTTATAAGAAGTCTGTGGTAATGAATAAYGGACGTCTGCAATGTAAGCTTGTCGAATATATAATGACCAATAACTTTAGATAATTTAAGGCAAATTGTTTTAATTATACAGTTGTTAGTTGATATTCGCTGTCATGTCAACTAACTGAAGCCAGCATATTGAAAATATTATGTTTATTTTATATATCATATTTAACAACCCAGCTGTGTATSGGTGGTTTAGAGGCTCGTTTAAAATTATATATATATATGCTTTTTGAATAATATCAAAAACTTACTAGGTATCACTGAGAAAAAAATCGTATGGAGGCCCAGGGAAAGGTTATTATGACATTATTCCATGGATCCGGGCTAGCGAATATCAATTATACGAGATATATATAATATATAATTCATTATTATAATTCATATAATATTTCATATATTATATGAAATATATTTAGCACTCTATACCAGGTAGACAAACCATATGTATAAAATATAACTAAACACACGATACAATTTTACTATTATATTATAAATATATTTTTATATATTTGCAATTTATATAAATATTGTATTAAAATTATACAGGTAATATTTGAACTTTATTTTTGTTGCTTTAATTTTTACAATATATTCATCAATGATAGTTTTCTACTTTTTCTAGACTTCTAATGTTAATTTATTTATTTCGTTATACCTAGGTTAAGCTTCCACTTTTTAATATGTTCATGAATCATGATCATAATATATTATTAAATAGCAATATTTATCTGCGGATATTATGTAGCTAAATTGCCTAGCTAAGACGCCGTTTGATCGTAATATATAATTCTTTTTAATATTCTATTGAAATTCTTGGTAAAATGGTAAAAACTATCAATCTAACGGAAACACCGAAATAAATGTATGAAAATATACAACAGTAGTTAACTTGTAGTTTGTCAATTATAGTAATCGTYCWYTTAGTACRCCTGAGTTATTTTAACAAGAAAACAGACAAATTATTTCAGTGCTTGTGATTAGGTGTTCTCGTATTATTATAATTTATATGCACTTTCGATTTCACAATTCTTTAGTTTGATAACGCATACATTTCAATTAAAATACATTTTTAATAAACTAATAATGTCTTACCATGTGCTAACTAGACTTTGGGACTTATATATTATCGTCTCTAAAAACAATACACATTTAGAACTGTGCACCAACTATCCATTAAAAATATCAATTACTTTTTCATTAAAACAAAAAAACGTCACGGTGATTCCGTATTCCGTGAAAATCATGCAATATTGCAATATATGTCACAATATAGAAATTATAGTTTTTTTAATTCAATTGTTATAATTTATGAATAAACGTTTATATCATTGTTATTATTTTTTTTTTTTTTTTGAAAAATTCCTTATTTAAAAAAGAAAGTAAAAAAAAATAAGTACATGGTGGATTATATCCATAATTATAATATATATTATATTTTATTTATCAACGCATTAAACATTAAAAAAAAAGGCTCTGGGGGGATCTCCCCATCATCCCCCCTCCATAACTACGCCACTGGCGTCCAGCACGTCGTGATGAGACATCTCGCCGGTCAAGTATAAATCGGCGTCGACACCGCGCAATACGGACGCACCTGAACCGGCCACCGCCGCGGCTGAACCGATCGTCGACTCTGTAAATCACACAAATAATTATACATATTATTCTAATATAATACAATGTGAAAATATAATGCATTAGTGCTTCGATTTAGATGCAATTAAAAACAAGAATAAAATAGTTATTATTCTATCAATTTTGAAAACTTATTGATCTATAGAAAATGTTTAAACAAATCGTCTTAATTAAGCACTTTCACTTTGATTTTAGACATTCATCAAAATCGTTTATTTAAATCTTAAGCTAAATATAAAATATTTTGCTCACGCTGATATAAAATGAACTTTTTAAATCGTATTGTCCATTGTAAATTTCAGATGCAACTGTGGAACATGCCGTCGATTATCATATGAGAGGCAGCCCCAATCGACGTTGTTTCAAGTATATCAATTTTTTCGATAAAAAATAATCGAATGAGGTAGAGGAAGTGAGAAATGCCCATTTAACTTATACATCGGAAAATTACCTCTCTGGGTCATATATTGCATAGTTGTGTTACCATCCTACCAGTACCGGGAGAAGTATATACAGTACTCTTTCAAGTATACACTACATACAGCAATAGCCGAATAGAATTAATCGTAAACTATTTTAGTTTTATTTTGGGATACTACATGTTTTCATAATGTTATCGCTCGTACAGTATAA